CGCCTCTTTTTCTCCGCAAAAAATCAGGATTTGGAAAAATTATGAAATCAGGAAATGGCAGCCAAAAATCAGGAAAAATCAGGATTTCTCAAAATGATAAAAAAAACTAGACCCCCTGTAAAATTGCTGCCTTTCAACCCCTACTTTATACAAAGTGAAAACTAAATAAATCGAAATTTGATTAAATGCTAACTAAGTTTCCTCGCAAAAATACAAAAATTACTATTAGGCCAATGCATTTTTTGGGTTTTTTTTCTTATTTTTCTGCGATTACTTTCTCGGAAAAGTTCAGATGACCTCAAAATTGATCATTAGGTGAAGCAAGGATATTTCAAACGAAACTAAAATTATCTGGAGGTTCAAAGTTTGAGGATCAAAAATGTGGTATCAAAAGATGACTGTATACCTTTATGACCTGAGTAAAATTATTCTAACCTGCCATTTTCTTGATATTGGTGCAAATTCATGGTATCCACTGGATTTATTTTTGCCAAAAGAAACGCAAATCAAATGTTTGCATGATTAAGTACAAATGACATCATAAAATTCAACCAAACTGCGAGCTACGAGTTATACAGGAACCATTGGAAGTTTTTCATCGAAGTCTAAAATCCGATTCTTTGACCCAACTGGCCAGAACTTGCCGTACTGACAATTTTGTCTCCTCGGACTAAACTTATTTTATTTCGCAATCAGTCAAACTTGCGTTTTTTATAAATCATCCCGAGTAGAATTTACATTTTTTCCTCTGTTTTTGATGCCAATGATAACCTAAAAAAAAAAAAAAAAAAAAACACGAGGCCCTCGCTTCACGTCTCAAATTTCTCTGACAAAACTCTAACTATCTAGCAGATCGATCGAGAAGGCAACGAATCGGTGACTGCGGAGCAATAAAAGTAATAAAAAATGAAACAAAACTTGGAACCTGAGACCCGCGGGTTCTAAATCACCGAAAGAACCGTGCCCTGTCAAATACCGACACAGTAAAATACTAGGAAGAAAGTCCATCCACCGTATCGTGTGCTTTGCCGCTGGACATGGCATGCTGCACACTGATTCAATGCCCACCTGATAACTCTTGTTGCCAGCTCAAACTTGAGAAAAAATGGTGAAAAAGCATACTTACGGAGATATTACATCCCAAAAAATGACGAAACATCAGCAATACTTCAGAAACAAAGAATAGCTCATTTCCTGGCTCATTGCGGAGTAGCTCTGATGAATTTGGTTTCGGATATTGCTCTCAAGTATTACTAGCCAAAAATTTAGGTACTTAGCGCAGGAACTTGACGAGGATTCGTAAAATGTAAAATTAGGATCAACGCGCCCTTTTACCAGAGAACCGCCTTTTTCGTAGAATATATTTGACGCGTGCTTCTTTCCTTACAATTATTTCACCTTCAACCACCAAAAAACTATCTTTTTCGAATGGATTCAGAAAATGCCTTCTTTTCAGAAAGGGCGTAAGCCGCTATGCGCCATTTTATCGAAAAAAGCCTCATTTGACAAAATAATTTTTGAAGCACGACGTAACATCATGAGGATTAAAAATTCGCGTTCTCCACAGAAAAAGCTGCTTTACGACGATGTATGAAAAACGTCTCAATTGAGAAGTCATATATTTAAAAAAAAATAACGTAACGTTCAAACACGTAACATCGTAAGGATTCGCATTCACGCGTTTTTTACGAAAGGAATGTAAGTCTTTTTACACCCTTTTAACGAAAAATACCTATTAATCAATGAACTACGATAGGGGACGCCCCATGACCGTTCCGCGAGCCAATTAACCCTCCGAGGCGCTTGCGCCCAAAGCGTTAAACGTTACGCGTTATACTCTTATGATTTCATATACAGTAAAATAATGCATTCTTGAAGATTCGTAACATCTGAAAGGTTCGGAATATGCGTTCATTACAAATAGGGCGTAGGTCGATTCAGGCCCTATTATTGAAAATTGCATCAATTAAAAAAGATACGTATTTGAAAGAAAAAAGGTGTTAGGTGGGACTGGCTTCAAAAAATCGGCAACATCGTTGACTACCTAAAATATTCAGCGACGCTCGAGTAATTTGTGTGCGCGCTGAGATGTTATCAACTTTCTCTAATGCTCCCGCGCGCGTCTCGCTACGCAAGATGCAGCCGAGCGCGATGCGCGCGCGCACGGAACAATCCTCAGACAGTATTCCTAGTACCAGTTGGACGTATTTATGCTAAAAGAGACTATGTGCCTAGGGTTTGCGTGAGACATAGTTCCTTTTAGCATAAATACATCCAGTTTTTGTTCTAGTTGGCATACTTTTGCAGTTTTGTGCATTTTTTGGGTGATCTGAGTCTAGGGGTCACCGCTTGGCGAAGACAAAAACTCAGCTTCAACCGGAGTTCCGTCGATTACAGGGAAAACACTACCTCTCAGTGTATCATCTGACGGAATTACACTATTTTTCGAACAATAAGATCGAACAGGTCTCCGAAGAAAGTTAATTTTAGCGGGTTTCCTCCTTGAAAATTACAGGCTGATGTGTTAGGTTCGATCTTCCTACTCGTTCTGGGTGGCTATAGATCGTATTCGATAGTAGTTCGATGTATCGTTTGTTTCAAAACAGTAGAACATAACCTCGATCAAAAATTTTAGTATTCGAGATAGAAAACCTGAACATGAGAAAATTTTTGACAGTTTCACTTTTTATTGCCATGTGGTACCCATAAGAGTCCACGAAATTAAGGTTTTGCCACGGCACAATTAGGAGAAAATGCTGTGAGATGAAAAGTTTAAAAAAGCGGTTCATCGGTAATAGCGTGCATCAAGTATGGGCTATCTTTTCACCATGCAAGAAACATGCATTTTTTTTACTTTTTTCTACTCCCCCAACTTTGTTAAGCTCTAATTTTTACCAAAATTCGCCCTAAATCAGCTCAGTCACTGATATTTCATTCTGATCCGAGGGGCTTCCTTTTGAAAAAGAGAGAGAACTTCGTAAAAACTCTTCCGAATGGGTGTTACCTCTTAAAACAATTCAATCTTAGTTTAAGTTGCTCCAAGTGCGGGTCAAAGCTTACCTGTCCTAGCAACACCCAGATAACTACCACTCCATCACCAAAAATCCCATCTTAAAATCGTTTTTTGTTGAGGATGAAATTCATCAATCATCTCCGTTTTCTGACGGACAAGTCTATAAATCTACCTTTCTTACAACTTGGCTCTATCAACGGTCGAGAGTCCGATCGTTCAAGTCAAAGGAAAGAATTCAAACGATCGAGAGGGACACACGACGCGCGCAGAAAAAAGAGAAAGTGCTCCACTCTCGACAGCTGACAAGCCCCCGGAGAGAACAAAATTTGATAATAACAGGAAATTCCGGTAGCGGAAAGATAGACAGCACAGCAGTTACTGCAATTGCTGTTGACCACCCGGTGGAACGTTTACAACCGACATAACCGCACAATGCGTGCCCTATGGGTGATCTAGACACCAGTGAGCAGCCCACACAGTAGTCGACCTTGCGCCTTCTTCGACGCCAGCTGAGCGCTTTTGGACCAACAAACCTGGATTCCAAACTCGAACCCATGAGCAGAGCTTAGAGATTGAGTAATCCAGCGCAAATATCTCGATCCATTTTTGGTGAAAATGAGGCAAGTGAATAAATCTTGCCTGGTTTTTTCCGATATTTCCTCACACTTTGTGCCCGACTTAGCTTTTCTCTTTCCCTTTCGTCCGTGCATGACGCTATCGATCGTTAAAGTCTTTTATAGATCTCTACAAAAATGGCATTTTCTATCGCTCGACAAAAATATCAAGATCTACGTTGGCGCCTTTAATAATTTGACCATGCCGTGATTTTACTGCATTGTATTATTAAGAATGGCCTGCGTCCAACCAACGAGACCAAGCAAACTTGCCAAGCCTTATTTAGATCAAAGTTTTCATACATCCAGGTTATTAGCAAAAGAAAATAGCAAGAAAGCCTCCGCGTAGCACTGACTCATAAGCGCTTTACACCTCAGCTATTTGCCAATGAAAAATTACCATCTATGTGATCGATCTAAATAATACGTGAGCTCATGTATACCTGTTGCGTTACTTTTTTAGTACATTTTCTAAAATTTTCGAGTATTTCATGGAAGATTCTCCCTCAACAATAGGAGATCCTTTTTTATCGTAAATTACTTACAACAAGCCTACCTCAAAACGAAAGGAAATTGCATATCGACGGCCAAAGTGCAAAATCGCGTAACTCCATTTATGACTCTGCAAAATTCCTGTCATACATGATCCCTGTTGGAGGAAAAGTCAACGTAATTTCTTGAAAACTTCATTGGTTTTTCTTCCTCTAGTAGTAGAATATTTTCTATGAATTTCAATTAAGCTATATCATTAACTTGTGTCTTTTCAAATAAATGAAATGAGCGGAAATTTGGAAACACCGCAATGAACATACGTGGTAGTTTCGCTCTTCGGCCGTCGATATAAAAGCTAATGTGTGTAATTCTCATTAAAACAATCGATTTGCGTATTTCACTTCCAAAATTATTAACTGAAATACAAATAATTGACTAAAAAATTTAATTAAAAAAAAAAAAAAAAAAAAAAAAAAAAAAAAAAAAAAAAAAAAAAAAAAAAAAAAAAAAAAAATCTGTGCATACAGAGGATTGTGTTAGCTACTTAGTCATGCAAACGGTAGCCAAGCTGACACTCCTTCATTAATGCCATCCATCATTGACAGTAGCGTTTTGCGACATGCATGAAACGTGTGACGTTGATCGTAAAGAGAGCCACCTGCCACCACGCCCCGCGGTTTGCATAACTGAAAAATTGTAGGTGCTATTGCAGCAACATTCATCCATCTATGTTTCTTCACTTGGCTATTGGAGAAAAAAATGCATCTCCATAAAGATCACGATTTCTGAATGTTCCCAAGCCTCCTTGTCATGATGAAAGTTTCTTCTAAGAATCAATCTGTCAACCGGTGCACTGATGAGAATTCTATTTTCTGTTTCAGATTTTAGGTGTTGTCGCAATGGCCTTCGCATCTCCCGCAAGAATCACCGGGACGCATTGGTTCCTGTTTATAGTCGTCATTAGTTTCATCGCCACAGTCATTTGGATCTTCATCTACATCCTCTCCATAAGGGAGGCGCTCACCTTCCCGATCAATTGGCTCGTTACAGTAAGATGATTTCCAGTTATTTGATTTTCCTCTTTTGAAGTATTGACCCTTGTCTGACAGACATAGATCGGAGGACTAAACACATGTCAAACGAAAATGCATCAGACATCGGGGAAAGAAGAAGAAATGAGGGGCTTGGAGGAAAAGGTGCACAAGTGCATTTTTGAAAAAAATTGAGATATTATTGATTTCAAGTAAAAATAGTCCTAATGCATATTCTGTGAAAAATTCGCTCCCATTTTTAAACATCAAATAGTCAGTTTGAACTGTTTTTTTTGTCATGAGGATCCATGTGATTTCGAAACTTGGAACACGTATTTCTCGAAGTATCAAAAACTTCACTTATGCGCCTTGTCCTGCAAGCCCCTCAAAAATGAGGGAGGAGAGGGAGAGAAATTAGACGAAGGAAGAAGAAGAAAAAGAAGACGAAGAAGAGAAACAAGAAGAATTTCCTTTCCTTAATATTTGTCTTCCTCTTATATCTCTTAGTCTTCCACTTTTTCTACCTCTTATTCTTCTTCTATTTTTCTTCTACCCTCTTTACGTATCTTTTTCTCTTTTTTTTCTTTCTCTACTCCTTATTCTCCGTCTCATTCTTCGACCCCTTCCTATTCCTCACGTATCTTTATCTGATACATGTATTTAGGAGACTTCAGCTTTAGTCCATATGTGTATTTCCAAAACTCTTTATGTATAAGTATGATCCCACTGCTTCACCTTCAATTTCACATGATACCAGAAACCTACAACTGAACACGAATAGTTGCCTATCTGATCATTCTTCCCTGGTAAAAATTGGCGATACGAGCTGCGGTTCAAAATACCATAGGAGTTCTTATACTCGACTAAAGACGGCTATTGAAAATCATATAGCTGGCTGTAGAAAGCGGAGCAAATCATATAGCCGGGCTATACGAAGCTATGAAAAAAAATGCAGTCGGGCTATAGTTCCTATCGCCGGGCTTTACACTTTATCGCCATTGGCTGTAAAAGGCTATAAGAAATTGTGTATAAATTCGTGTGCTTTGGAAATCATTAAGTTTGATGCGGAACTATCTTAATATTTACAAAACACACATTATATTTTCCTTTAAAACATTTTTTTTTTTTCATCAATTAAAATGAGAATAGTCCATACAGAGTGTGCAAACATTTTAAAATCATGAGTTGAAAAACGCAGACTCCGCGAGATAAATATTAGAGCCTAACACAAAGCGGAGCGGCAGCGGCGACGCACTGGCGCCTACAAACCTAACGGGGATACTTCACGCATTGCGCGGCGACGCACAGGCGCCTACAAACCTAGCAGGGATACTTCACGCATTGCGCAATGCGCGAAGTATCCCTGTTAGGTTTGTAGGCGCCAATGCGCGTTTCGCGCTCTCTGCCCGCCCGCCGCGCCGCAGCGTGCCACGGCGTCTGAAGCAACGATTTCACACCAGATGTATTGCACAGTATCGTCAGTATCATAAGAAATTAAATGCGCTCCAACATATTAAGAATGACAGACATCTTTCAGAAGTACAGAGCTTTCCTCGCAAAATAAATCACGATACTGCGGCACAAAAAGAGAGCGGTAGTCCAAAAACTAACTAAGTCCTAGTATCCGTATTTAGTACCGTTTAGCATAAACTTTATCGTCTGGCTGTTGCTCAATCGCCATCGGCTATAAAAGGCTATAAGAAATTGTACAGTCGGCTACAGAAGCTATTGGAAATCTCACAGCCGGCTTTAGGTCTATAGTATTTTGGAACACACATTCTACTGCCAATTTTTACCATGGTTTTCTGTTAATATCATCCGCAAGCGTGGATTATTCAACGTACCTCTGTATTATTCAGTGGTAGTAAAAACTGTAGTGCAGAAGTGCGGCTTAGTAATGATCGCAATATTGGTCTCCTTCTAATCAGGCGTTGTGTATTCAATTGTTCAAAGAAATAATCCTCATACTTAGTCTTATGACAAAGCAATAAGGCATTTCGTAAGACAAAACTATAGACACCTACAACCTCTAAACCCTACCTCTTCTAACCTCTCTTCTAACCTCTGACACCTACAAGTATAGCACTTTAATTCTACGTGTATGAGCCTTTTTATCATCGTCACAAATTCGTACTGAAAAATACATTGCAGTAAGTTTTTTTATAGTGTAAATAGGTACGTCCGAAATTTTTGCAGGATGGGAAAATGAAACCTAATATTAAGTTTTTCCTTGATAATTACTCAGTAAAAATGAAGAACTCTTTGTTGGAATAGAAGTGTTTTGTCAAGCGCTGATTTGTTTTTTTCCTGTTTCCAGGAGCTTCTCAACACTGCCATTTTGGCAGTTCTGTACTTGGTCGCTTCAGTTCTTCAGCTTTCTGTTTGGTCTCCGCCCTACCACCCGCAGTACCGGGATCCCAACATCACAGCTGGGGTAAGTTCATTTTTTTTTTTTCGTTTTTTACGAGGTGGAAAGAAATTTCGATACTATGTACATCATAATCGGTGAGAAGAGAGTGGGTTGGACAATGAATACATCGAAAGAAGACAAGAATCTTCCAAACGACAACATTAGGTTTAAAAGCGACCTCTAATAGAGTTCGTTTTGGCCATTTTCGAGCGCACAGCGGGAAAAATCGAGGATGTAGTCATTTATCGGTCTAGACTCATACTCTCTGGAGTTCAGTGCTCCCATTTCCCAGAACTAGTTCCAAATTTTGGAACATTTTCCTGAATTTTTCCGGAACTTTTTAAATTCCCGAAATATTCCGGATCTTTTGCATTTTCCGGATCTTTCTCGGAACTATTGAAAGAATTTAAAAAAAATCTCGTATTGTGTGGGAAAAATTGGAACAAAAAAGCTCCGAATCCCGGAACTTTTAACGGACGTACGGTTTGGTAGCACTGCTAGAGATCTCAGTGCAGCCGCCTTCTTAACATCTCCCCATTTTGTATCCAACGGATCCTACCGCCCAAAATTGGATCTCGAGAGTCAAGTACCTGTTCCGTAAAGCTCATCATGGAGTGTGACGGTGCGACGAAAATCAAAGGATGGGTTTGAATGACGGCTCGGAACCATAACTGTACTCCACGCGTCGCGCGTCGGGTGAAGTCGCAAGGTGAATACTAAACGTCCGGGCGTGAGGTGCGTTACCGCGCTGTGTGCATGCCGAGGAATGGGCCTATCAAAGCGCCAGCCGCACGCCGTGCCATATCAGGCTGGCATACGACCGACTACCGACTGGTATGCGGAATTCCACGCACAGTTGGACGTTGCATTCCTGTGTTGCCACCGAGAGTATGGCTCATGTAAAAACCAGTGCGTTATGAGCGTTCATTCATCAGAATAAAACCGATTTTTTGATTCGTGTATCTGGACGTTCGGTTCATGTAACGGAACTTCTTTCATCAGTAACTATAACCTCACCGAAAAAAGTGAAGTTGATTTAACATTCCAGATGTGAAAAAAGTGAGTGAGAAGGTAGAAAATGCTGAATTTACCACTGCCAAGGTGTAAAATTAACTGCTGTGGCGGGCAATTCAGCCTTTCATAAGTTATCACACAATTTTTCTACATCTGGAATGTTAAATTAACCTCACCTTTTTTTCGGTGCTCATAAGTTCGATAATACGAACTGAACGTTCGATTACACGAACTGAAAGGTGGTTTCAGCGAATTGAATAGCTGGGATGAAATAGAGCACCATGTTCTCATTCATTTCGTGGATACGCAATTTTACTTACTTGGAAGTCGGAATAGTTGCACCACTATCCTCGCCCCATCCAACTTTTTTCTCTGTGTTAAAGTGTCTGATTCAGCCGAAAAGATTTCACGTTCTCCTTCAATTCGTGGTTATGTATTTTAACTAACTTTAAAGCTCAAATAGTTGTATCACGCCACGTGTTTCTCCCCATCCAACTTTTCTACTCTGCGTTAAAATCCCCGAGTCAGCGGACAAGAGACCAATCTCTTTTTCATTGTTGTGGGCATAAGGGAAAGTTTTGTCGCTTCTTAATTGTAACAAGATTTGTGAAAAGAGTCCTCATTTTGCGGGAGAAAATTTCCGAAACTGTGAAGTCTCTGATTGAGCAAACAACGACGACGAGAAGCGCCTGCAAACCTGGAGAGATACTTCAAGCATTGCGCCGCGCTGTCTCCCCGAGCCGATCCCGATTAGCTCTTAACTCGCGAAACGCGTTTAGCTCCGAAATGCGCTATTATTGGGAATGCGTAGGGCAGCGCGCGTAAACAACTTCAGAAGGTGTACACAAAAATAGATCGAATTTTGATCAAAACGTAATAAATTTTGTATCATCCATTTTTCAAGGTCAAAGCCTACGCAATTTTTCCACTGCCTACGCAGTTCGCCGGCGACCAAATTATCGATCGTTGGTTCGTGAGTATTCTGCATCCCTGCTGTTCCGTTGTCCGTAACTATTTTGCAAATCAAGTATTTTGCAAATCAAGTATTTTGCAAATCAAGTATTTTGCAAATCAAGTATTTTGCAAATAAGTCAATCGATACGTAAAAAATACTGGTTTGGGTTCCCTTATCCATTTGTGGTAGAAAAAGAAGGAGAAAAAACGGGATTTTTGTTTAAATCGTTATGCTTCAAGAAGTGCAGGTCTAATAAGAAACATCCCGATGGATTCTTAAGTGGATCAAATATGCGTCAATTTTTCGGGCACGTGTTAAGTATAATCAAATCACTTTTAACGCTCTCTTCTCTGCAGAAAGTATATAGATCCTTTCAATCTGGAAGATTCAATACCTTTCCCGATTCATTTAAGTCTTCCACAAATTTAAGAGACTTTCGACAATATTTTATGACAATTAAAACTTTTCGGGTGTTCTCTGGCATCGTCTCCTCCCCCTGTAGAGTTTATTTTTAATTAATCAAGTAAGTTATTTATGTCAGTTGGCTTTGTAATCCTTACGTAATTACACCTGAGATTGAAAAAAACGCTCCCATAAGAATTAAAAACGAAAAACACAGTCTTTAATTAACGTTGCAACCAGATCGCTGTCCTTCCTTGATGACTTCGTCAAATTTTATGATAAACAACGGAGGACCGGTCGGTCGATTTCAAACTGGATTTTTCTTTCTTTCCTCTTTTCTTTAGCTGACGTAATCAATATGTATAATTTCTTATGCCAATGACGTTTCCTTTTTCTTCACCCGTTTTCCGTTGTCCATGTTTCCCTAGTTTTGCCGGTAGCTTTCGTTATATCTCAAATCGAAATACGTCACGCATTTGTCATGGCTTGGCCTGTGACAAGGCAAATCTGCGGTTTGGTTGGCAGGCAAGCAAGTGACAGGTGACAAGCAAACTGGTAGAAAAAAACCAAAGACCAGAGTTGCAATTTCATCCGAATTTTCCGACCCTCCCCTCCCAACCGCAGACGTTTGTCATCCAAGGCGGCGAGAAATCAGGAGAATGCTGCCATGCTTAGGGGAAAACACCATATGAACATTCAAACGCACCCATACCTCTCCGGGTAAAAGTCCAGTTTCTCCCAAAATTAATTTATGTTCAGCTCTGAGTTTACCGAAGAATTTTTTCAAAATTTAATGTAAAATGTCAGTTGAATTCCAAAGAAAAATATGCTATTAATTTTTCTTAAAAAAACTGAACACCTAAAAAACGCCTTATTTTCTAGGAAATTTAATTGTTTACAATTAAAAAATACGTTATATAAATCAAATAAGCAATTTTTTATGAAATCGATTTATTTAATAAGTAGATATTTAAAAAATTATTCTATATAAAATCTAAAAATATATCTATTTCAACTTTTAAATGTTAGAGGCATTTAAATTATTCTAGAGGAACGTTGTTAGAAAATTAATCTTAATAATTAAACTGATTTTTTAGTTTAAATTGTGAATAAAATTCGGCGAGTAACCTAGAGATAAACATGCATTGATTTGTAGAGAAAAAGTTTATGTAAGGAAATTTGGCAACACCCTAATGCTCATACTACGTTTTTCTTCCACAACTAAGAATGGGACTCAGCACAACGACGTGGTGCGGGACAAGACTCTAGTCTGCGATCAGCGTTGTCAAATTGTGCTGAATCATCTCCGAATTTGAATGGGAGGAATATGAGAACGGTGGTTGAGAGTGGCAATGGGGTTGCATTTAACGGCAATGACTTGGGTCCCCGGCATAACTGATAGAGTACGTGCCAGGCATGCACATTGCACATTGTTTTCAAGCCCGCTCTTGGACTTGCTCCCGCTAATTTGACCCCAAATTTTGATCGAGTAACGTCACACCAGGGGTCATTCGAGTTCATCAGCAGCGGGCTCGTCTCAGACTAATGAACTTGACGATAAGTGCGTGGTCCTCCGACTCCCTTAAGAACGCATCCATTCTTTTCAATTTTCGCATTACGATGGTGAAACTTCAAAACCACGCATCTCGATTTGCGACGTTGTAGACTTCCTGTCATCCTGGCTTCTAATTAGTTAGCATGTATTAGGAGGCTTCGGTGGGAAACCTGTCACTTTCTCATTCCAATTTATAAATTTTGAATAAAGAGTTGTTGTCAAAAAGGGTAATAGGACAAAATTTATAAAAATAAAAGTCAATAATGTACAATAATGTCCGAAAGTCAAAAAAGTCCACATCTTAAACATGTCCAAATATCTGGAATGTCCAGTGGCATTATACTTAATGACCAAAAACAAGAATGCCCAAATGTGACATAATTTGAAAAAGTGACAAAATAGTAAGCTAAAATACGGGATATTTCAGACACTTGGACATTTTTTGCTCACGAACTTTTAATACATTGGCCATTTTTTTACTCTGGACATTTATTTTTGGACATTTTGTCCTATCGTCTTAAAAAGAAATAGAGAGAGACTTCCTGTCATACCTTATTTTTTAAATGCAGAACTGCTCAATGTCAATTCTTCAAAAACTCCGTGATTTTTCCATTCTACGCGAAATAAATTCTGAGAAACTTCAAGGAATGATGTTTACTTTGTTCTCCTCCAATGAAATAAAATAGGAGCGGAGTTTTGTCAACACTGCAAACGAGATGCGTGGTTTGGGAGTTTCATCGTCAATGAGACCAATTGGTTTCCAAGACGAATAGCTATTTGTTAGTCGGAGTACCCTGGAGAATAAAATGACTTGAATTTGCAGACAAAAAAATCAAAAATCAAATCGATTAAATCAAGTGAAAATCTGTTTGAAATCAGCTACTTTTTTCCAAATATCTAGGCATATTTTCCTCATGATTTTCAAGAATTCCTCTCGGTGGCTAAATCAAGAATACTTCTGCCGAAATCAAGTCATTTTCTTTCCAGTGTACCTTTGATTGGGCACCATGCATAGTACCTTGTAAGGACATGCCATCTGATGAAGGTTTTTGGCGTAGCCACTCAATTTGCATGAACACACCGAAAAATTGAGATGGCAACCTGGAAGTCAAAAATGTGTTGGAATAGTTAACCCTTCGTTGCATAGCGTTGCATGAAAGCAACATTTTTTTTTTTTTTTTTTTTTTTTTTGGCTGTGATCCTCTGTGGCATTAAATTGCGCCAAAGCAACACATGGTTTTTGGAGAGGATTAAAGGTCTAATCTCCGAAGTTTCCAAGAAAAAATATAAACTGCTACTTCATCTGTTCCTACAATCCTAAAAACACTGTATATTGTAGATTTTTTTCTCTGAAATCGGTGACATGCAACAAAGGGTTAAACTAGAATCTAGAGAGCACCAAACACATGTTTAGCATCTTAGATGTCAAAGCACCATATTTTTTTTTCTGTTCAGTTCTAGATATTCTCTCAGAAATGATTGATATTTGCTATATGCCATAGAGGAAATTCCTTTGAGTTTTCAAAATAATCAATTTAGCTATTCCCTTGTGATAAAAATGAAGTTTTCGATAAAATATAGCACCAGCTAGGGTCACATGGTTTCCTGCAAGGAGACACCGCTGATGGTATGTTCTGACGAGCTTTGTGAAGTTTGATAACATTTATCATAAAGTATCTTTTATTTGTTGTTACAGATTTTCGGGTTGTTCAACACGGTTGCATACTGCGCCGGCGCCTACTTCCTGTTCGCAGAATGGAAAGGTACGAGAGTATCAGCACAGTAAAGGCGCGAACTCACAGGCGCGGAAACCAAAGATTTCTTTCTCTACGTCACTTGTGTTTCTTTTGGAACACGCTCTACCATGTTTTGTACTATAATTCGTCAAGCAAATTTTTACTTTTTTAATTCATCCCTCTTTTATACTTCTCATGTAATTTCTAGTGTGTTTCTCATGTAAATAAGTTAAGGTCAATTGAAGATTATTTATTAACTATATTTTAAATGATGTTATCTTATGAGAGAAATTTACCTCTGCATTTGTATATTCAAGCTTCATCTAAATGTCACATTATTGTAGCTGGACCAGACGACTTCCTTTCTTTGGAAGTTCCTAAACATAATGTATTTTTTAAGCACTTTCAGCATAATGACTGCTGTGTTTTCACTTACAGTAATAAATTAGTAATTATAAGAATAAAGATTTTTAAATTATTCTGGAGTAAAATATTGACTTTTTTGTGTGTCCTTAACATGGCTTCAACATGACTATTTTAAGTGATTATTTGATCTCCTCAAAAACCAAGAACACTCAGCTCAATCAAGAATAAAACTGGAGTTACAGATTTTTGAACCTATCATAATTTTTAGTGCCAGTTAACATTCTCAGGTCCTATATTTATCTTTACTCGCAAAAAAATTGAGAGTTTAGTCAAATCATACCTCCATGGTTATTTTACTTTCGGCGCCGGAAAGAAATTCATAATTTTTTTCCAATAAATTATGCGCCACGATCAAGAAAAACGTGTAAAATGAGATGAAAATCACTAAGTATAATAACTATAATAATCAACCTGAATGATAATCGGTCTTGCCCAAATTAGAATTTTTCCGTTATGCTTCGCCATATTTTCTTAAATATGACTGAAGTTAGAGGAGTTTGAGATCAGCTTTCTTTGTCACGGATAAATCACTTGTCCAATGTAATGGTTTTAGGGCAATTCGCTAACATTTTTTACATGCAAAGAAAGCAAATTATCTTGCTAATCTAGCAATACAGATGAAAGTATGTTAGGCACGATGGCTAAAAGGTAATCCCAGCGCTAATAGCCGTAGGAATCTCAAATGCGGGGGTGAAAGAGGAACCTAGTTCCTGAAGCATCAAGTGTGAATTTTTGCACACTTTTGTTGAGCCAACGCGAAATTTTAACTTAAGTGCGAAAACAAAAAAAGCTTCATTACAGGTTCATTACAGCGCTTCCATGCGGAATCAGAGAAAAACTAAAAACAAAAGCTTGCGTATTTTAAACTTTAAAATGCGGCAAAGTCGCCCACTCTTTTGTGCCAAAATTGTCAGTTAGGCGGTTTGTTCCGTAACCTTCGAATATTAAACGTTAAATCCGAAACCTGGTAAGCGCCATCAGTTGCGGCAAATGTTATGCAGCTATTCGGTCATTTAACTGGATTTCAGAGGCCATAATGGTATATAATGTGTTGCAGATGGGGTTAAAATTTAGGGGCGAATTTCTCAATAAAAAGTCCATTGGACAGAGGCATTTAAGTTCTTTTACAATGAGAAGCATTTTCCACTAAGCATAACCTAATTAGCGCTTACAAGATTATGTATTTTCACTTCTCAAGTGTGCATCATCAGTTCCTATTTTTTTAATGCGGGTTGTACGAGGGTAGTCCAAGGAAGTAGGTTTACCTATCACACATATCTCCATTATTAAGGTAGATGGAAAAAAATTTCAGTCGTCAAATACGTAATTTTTACAACTTAAAGAGAAGGGATGAATGTAAAAATAATTGAGGCACATCAACAAGAAAATTAAATTTCAAAATATTATTGATAAAACTTCAATGATTTAACAATCTTCATACAGGAAGTCCCTTACTACCCTCACATGAAGTAACGTTGGAGTTTCCTTGAAGTGTAAGGTAAGGAACCTATCCACAATTTCTACCTCATCAAGCATTTGCGTTCGATTCTGTCTAATACCAGAAAAAAACACGAGGAGAACAAATTATAAGATCAGGTACATTCAGATGTAGACAGTAGCGATTTTGCAAATTAGCAACACTGTTTTTCCTCCATTTAAATCCGTTGAAAATATCAATTTCAGGTGCCGCAAGCTATTCCATGAAGAATCGATTTTTTTATATACATTTAAACGGAAGAAAAACAGTGTTGCCATTTTTCAAGAATCGCCACTAGATGCGAAGCGGGTTGCAACTTATTCAACTTGAGTATCTTGACCGCGGCGCAGTTTTGAAATCTGGTTACCGAGCGCTGAGCCACGGTTCTTCTTCCACCACTGAAGCATCATTTTCAAAAATTCAGGGCTCACGACGGTCGAGCTGTCTTTACCAAAGAATGACGTGGATACTCCCGTTGATTTCTTTTGAGACTGAATGTTGTCCAACCAGGCCCAGAAGTTAGGATCCGCCTGTGCCTCTTGACTGGAAAAGGTGACTCCTTGGTCCTCGGGGTCACCCTCAACTTCTCTCAATTCTAAATTGGCCGAGCCAGATTGGTCATTGTCTTTCTGTTGCGGCGAGTTCTTGCACTGGCAGGGATATTGACCACACTGGCTGCACACACGGTAGTCCTGCGGGGGCGCGAAAAGGTCACCGATGCCCAAAGATGCACAGTAGGCTGGGTTCGCTTGGCAGAATTCCATCAATGATCCGTCCATCCCCTGTTGCGGGAAGGGTTGTAGTCCTTGGAGCATAGGGCCCATGGGGGAGGGTCCGTAATTTGCCCCAAATTGTTGACCGAGTGCAGGGCCCATGGGACCGGCGGAGAGCTGGGCGAGCAGGGATGCCACGGTACCCATTAGGTCCTGTTCACTCATGCCAGGGGGTAGGACGTCATCGTTTTGAGGGATCTTTGGGCGACAGTCGCAGAATCCAACCGCAACCACCAATAATAAAATTGAAGCAAATTTTGCCATCGCGCCGATCTTCCACGTCACGAATTATTCTTGACTAAAAAAATTTGGTTAGTACTCTTGTATCCACTTTAAGAAAGTGTAAAATTTCACCACGAGCCTCTTAAACAAACTAATTGCTCAAAAATCTATGAAACGACATGGATTTTCAAAGTATCCGCACAACCACCAATTTTCTGAAACTGAGGAATCGCTAAATGAATGGTGTCAGAAGCTTTTGAGCGTAGTTTATATACTTTGAAATACTTTTTTGTCTTCCCCTTCCTGTGTTGCTCCGAATTTATCAGCATGTTTCAGCGTCAATTTAGGTTTTTCAACTTGCGTCAATGATGAACAAAAGCAATTATGACCAGCTGCAATAGAGACTCAATAGGTTGGTTTTTTGAGCCGGACAATAATAGTATTTGCAGATGGTTGCACGGTAAGAATGAAGTCATCCGCACCGAGAGAGAAATGTCATTTGCAGCGAAAGTAAGGTGTGCTGACTCAGCGTAAACACGTGTTCTCTGCCTTGTTTCCATTGACAATTTGCTGAAAAATGTTATCTCCCCTCCGCGGAAGATTCTCTTTGCCCAGTGGCGCCGTTGTTGTTATCTCAACACAGCTACACACGCCGGGTCTCAAACGAGAGCAAAAACACAAAAATGCAGACGCAAGATGAGCAAATTTTGAATGGAATGCAGTGGAATGGAAACGAATCCTTCGAAATTTCTATATGAGGTAGCAGGTAGGTAATTTCAGGTGACCTGTATATAGAAAAGTATATTTTTCATGCCTCCCTGTGCTGATTCTCAATTGTTTAATCAGAGTTTTAGACTTGCCATACCTGTGGCCCCTAAAAGCACACCACTATAAACAGACCCTTCAACAGAAGTTTGTATACTCATGGGAGAAATGAATTATGTTCACGGTAAAAGGATAGTTTTGGTAGAAATATTCAGCAAAGCTGACTCAGGAATCGTTTTGGAGATTGAAACCCCTTCAGTATGTGTAGAACTCTGTCCCCATCTTGTTTGTTCGTACCTTAGTACAAATAGGAGTGGAAGCCATGGAAGCCTAAAACCCACCGAGCCAACCAGCGAAAGGCACGCTTATTCCGCACTAAGTAAAAGAATTAAGATAGCAAAACTCTTCGTACATAAATAATCTTCTAGACTCTCTGACATTTGGAACGAAAAGTTTTTATCGGTGCGATAGTGAACAGAATAAAATCAACCTTTTGGTTTTCTGTTCATAATACATACAACATGCCATGCTTTTAGTAGGTTGCCTAGAAATTAGCATCGCTATGATTTGGAAGGATGACACACAGAGGGTCTTAATGGAATTGTCACAAATTTTCACTTGAAAAGGGAGAAGAAGGGAGGCAAAGTTGTCACGAAAACGGTTTAGAAGTCACGCATGCTGCAGATAATTCGCCTTCAATTTATAGGCAGGCCAAGCGACTTACTCCGTGGAGCAATAGCACTATACTTTTCAAGAATTTACCTGTGTTGTCTAAAAATTTTGCCTTACAGTGTATTATGTCAACCCTCGGATGCCCAAGACTTTTTGTTAGCCCCAATTGACTTGTGTTTAAATGCATTGACTTTGATAGTTTTTGAAGTATTATCTGTGCTATTCATATCTTTGAAGGCAAGAAATACTTTTTTTATCCTATTTATCCTATGAGCGCTTCTAAGGTTTCGTGTCTTAAAAATTTGATAGATACTGATTTACAAGAGAGATTGCCAAGAAAACAAAATCCAGGGATCACTTCAATGACTTTAATGCAGGGCAAAAAAGTAAGCGTACCGACAAATGCGAGTTGCTTTAACGCATGGAGATCTTATTATATTTAAAGATTTTCTCTTGCTGAGCCTAGCCCTAGAGATTTTGAGATTTTTGATGGCAGACGTTTGGACCGCGTTTAGCAGAAAGAAATCAAGCCGAATCAGCTACTGCCAAATTTAATTGGGCAATCGAATTTTTTGCAAGAGAACGTTTGTGCGTATTCCTTTGAAAATTTTAAGGAATTTGCCTCGTCTCATGCAGAAAATTCAGAGATTTCCGCACAATCGTTTTCATGATAAAAATGTAATTGTCCAATTAAATTTGGCAACGGCTGATGCGGCTTGGTTCCTTTCTGCTTAACGCAGTTTATTTGTTCTTCGTCTGTAACAGCGGTGAAAGGGGTATGGGTTTGTAAATAATTTGGGGGGGGGGGCAAACTGTGCTATAAAAATTTTAAATGCATACAGATTTTCAGAAAGATATCAGCACAAATTTGTGCTTAGTCTGTAATTTCGATTGACGAAAAACGCGATTTGTAATGAGTGTGCGACTTATTATGGCTGCATATGTGTAAAAATTATGGGGGGGGGATCTGTCAAAACGCTCGTAGGAAACCGTGTTAATCACGTGAAAATACACAAAATTTCGTGTTCGTTGACAAATTTTCACATCTTAAGCGGCAGTCTTTGTGCCTAGCGTGCCGTGTGCAGAAATGAAAGATTGGAAATTTCAGTGAAATACTTCATGAAATTTCACAAAGTTGTGAAATATTTCATATTTCTCAGAGGCTAGAGTGAGCAACCCGCACTCAAACACCTAAAAATATAAGAAAATCGCAATTTTTAAATTTTGCGAAATATAGAAAGGAACCGGTATTTTTCAATATATTTCATAAATTTATGAAATTTCATGAAATATTTCACGTGAAATTTCAAGATTTTATCTTTCATGGTGTTTTTCCACCCTGTGCTAACCACGTGAGATTATTCTAAAATTTGTGCCTAAAGACAAATTTTCAGACCTTCAGCATCATGCGTTCTCGGGTTGTGTTCTTCACGTAGCCCTTGAAGCACCACTACAAATTAGGCAAACAGAAAAACACAAAACGGAAACAGATCAAGGGAAAGAATCCGCGTTGATGACGGCGCAGAGATACAACTATTCGTACTTGATGGATGTCCGTAATGCGTCTACAAAATTGAAGGCGCGATGGCGCGAGGCGCGAACTCACGATGCTCCGCTCTACGCTGCTAGGGAGGTATCGCTCAAATTCGGGAGTTAAAACCTGATTACGTCTCTCCTACCTTCAGCTAAGCGGCTCACGTAGCCCTTGAGGTCACTACAAATAAGACAAACAGGGCCAACACAATATGGACATGGAGCAAGGTAGAGGACGCGCGTTGATGACGGCGCAGAGATACGACTATTCGTACTTGATGGATGTCCGTGTTGCGTCTGCAAAATTGAAGGCGCAATGGCGCGTGGCGTGAACTCGCATCAATCTTCCGCTTTATGCTATATAGCGATGAGGTGTCGCTCGGATTCGGGAGAAAAGTTAAGAAGAAGACAGAAGAGTTGTAACATGAGGATGGGGGAGAAAAATAGGAAAGAAGGAGGAGCTGAAGAGAAAATAAACGAAGAGAAATGCGGTATATCGACAGTGAAACTTCCAAACAATACGTATCTTGTTTGCTGTGTTTAAAAATCTCTGCTCCTATTTTGTTTCTTGGAAGGAGAACAAAGCAACAGGCCCGGACTTAGGGCGTGTGCAGGGCGTGCGGCGCACACGGGCGCCAGCCTTTGGGGGGGGCGCCACGAAAGAAGAAGAGAGGGAAAAAAGGGGGGAAAAGGAAAAGGAAACAAGGTTGGGCAGTAAAAGCAAGGAAGAGAGGGGGAAATGGAAGGAAAAAGGAGGCAAGAAAAGTGAAAAGAGAGTCCGCGAGAAAAAGGGGGGGCATAAAAACCATAGACAAAATATAAAGAGAATTGCCGTCTAAAGGTAGATTTTCAGGACAAAAACTCCACTTGGTCCATAGCAGGTCAGGCGCCCCTTAACCCTAAAGCGGCTGTACAGAAGTACAAGAGTAGGCATGTAGTAAGGGGGCGCCATAAATCCATCGAACAGGAGCCGACATATCATTTTAGGCCACGTCCGCCATCTTGGATTTGAGAATTTTCAAAAATCTACTAAAAATTCGAGTTTCCCGTCGAAAAGTACCCCTAATCCCGCGGTTCACAAAGCTCTAAAGAACAGAAACGGAGGCCAGAACCGGGGCTCATCTTAGGCCACATCCAACATTTTGGAGTTGAGAATTTTAAAAAGTTGATTGAAAATTTGAGTTTTCCGTTGAAAAATACCGTGTGATACCGCGTTTCACAAGACTCGAACAAACAGAAACCGAGATAGCATTTTAGCCCACGTCCGCCATCTTGAATTTGAGAATTTTAAAAAATGGACTAAAAATTCGAGTTTCCCGTCGAAAAATACCTCCTGACATCGCATTTCAGAAAAATCCATCGAACAGGGGCCGAGTTAGCATTTTAAGCCATTTCGGATTTTCGAATTTTGAATTTTTTGAATTTTGACAGATTTTGATTTAAAACGCGTGATCCCCAAAATCGAAGCTCAGATTCGGATTCCTCGTAAAAAATCGATGCGATTTCATGTATCATACCCTGACACCGAATTTCAGGAGAATCCATCAAACAGGAGCCGAGATGGCATTTTAAGCCACTTCAGTCATTTCGGATTTTTGAAGTTGAAAATTTTACTTAAAACGCGTGACACCCAAAATCGAAGTTCAGATTCGGATTCCTCGTTAAAAATTGATATAATTTCATGTATCATACCCGAGCATAGCACGAAGGAAAGAGACGTAACGTAGACATACCGATTCGAACATATGAATCCAACGTGGCAACATGGGTAGTGCTCAGTGGGTCAGCGGAGGATTAAGAATAAGAATTTATCGTGAGGAATTCCTCGGGACGAAACCGAACGTAAGCGCCGCCGCGGCGGCGTAGTTCAAAGGGGCAGTATGACAGAATCTATACACGTCGTTAAACCTTTTTCCTTCACGCTATTTTAACATATGATACATGAAATCTCATCAATTTTTCACGAGAAATCCGAATCTGAGCTTAGATTTTGGATATTACGCGTTTTAATTTATTTAAAATCGTAAGAGAATTTACAGAATTGTCCTTGAAAATTGATCACACACTAGTGTTTTTTTACGTCATTAAAGCTCTTTCCTTTACGCTATTCTAACATATGATGCATGAAATCTCATCAATTTTTCACGAGGAATCCGAATCTGAGCTTAGATTTTCGATATTACGCGTTTTAATCTATTTAAAATCGTAGGAGAAATTACAGAATTGTCCTTGAAAATTGATCACACATTAGTGATTTTTTACCCCGTTTTTCTTCTACGTTCACGTAATGAAATTAGATCAACAGTTGACTCATCGACTAGTCTAGCCTAATCCCCCAGAATCGGTCTAAAGGGCGAACGATTTTATCAGATAAGATGTGCGGTCCTAGTTTCCGGGCAATTGCGGTTTGATGGAAGCTGCGATGAGGAGAAACGGAAGATATGCGGAACTCGGGCGGATATTCAGTGAGAAACCAGGTAGGGGAAAGGCTTTCTTCCCGAAAAGTTAGTGCTCGGGCCAACTTACATGGTCACTGGAGCATTGTATAGCAGGTTGTGGGAAACTATTTTTTTGCAGCAACAACCAATTGGATCGCATTTTGCAAAAAGGAACTAAGAGCATTTCAATGTTGCTGGGATTGTGCAACTAAGGTACATTCTTTGCAAAAAGTAAACTTTGCGACGGTAATTTTCGTCTTGAATTCATAGTTTATTATGGGAGTAGAGGTGAAATTAGTTTAGATGATCGTTTATGTTTGCAAGGTTAGCGACATTGGAATGCTCTTGAAAGCAACTTGAAATTTGTTCATAATTTACTTTGCACACAAGGTAGAATAATAACAGTACATCATTTAAAAAATGAATGATGACAGGAAGTCTGCTACATCGCTTCGCAAACCGGGATACGTGCGGTTTCGAGGTTTCACCATCGATATTCTTTCACTCCAATCCCTCTATTTCTTTTCCTTCCCTTTCTAGGGGAAACCTCATGCAGAAATCAAATCGAGGTGACGAAGGAGATAAACTACTTTTTTTTAGATGAAAATGTAATTATGTTAAGCGATGGTTACAATTTGAAATGCGCTCGATCGATGGTGTTGCCGCAAAATTAAATTTCGCGCTCAAAGAGACCTTCGTGACGTCATGTCTGTTATTGTTTACAATCACAATTGAAGGTTATGTTTGTTTATTAGGATTAAAAATTTAACATGTTCGGGTTGCATTTCGTTTTTCCAGTTTTTCCTGAATAAGCTTAGTTTTGATTTAATTAGTTTAGCTATTTTTTAATTTTGTGGTTTTTTTCCAATATCATTTTGTCCCATCACGTGTGTTCAGTTTGCCACACCTTTTTAACATCTGGTATTGGTTTTTCTATTGCTCATTTCATCCTGGATTTGTCTTCGTGCAGCTACTGTTCTTTTCGTAATCTGCAATGATCATAAGTCATGATATCCTGCAAGTTTGACTCATTAAGTGATTGAAAGGAATTGTTGCAAAAGGGTCAAGCACCTCATACCCTCTTAAAAATGGGGAATCAATCTGCCAAAACGTCCTCAAAATCTTTCTCGAATGTCAGTCCGAATGAATTAGCCATTATCGAAAGTACAATACATAAATCAAATGATATCAAACAGAACGATGTCCAAGTAAGTATACTTCACATGGTCTTTTATTTTTTTGTCCCTCTCCTCTTTGTGGCCGAAGATCGAGCTCTGGCATCTTATGTTGAGATAAATGTCAAAGTATTAACCTGTCGATTGGTGCTAATTCTGAGCTAATCCGAGATTGAAATTTGTTTCAACATACAATGCCAGAACTCTATTATGACTGCCCTGCAGTAGCCGTATGCATTCATCACTCTCCGTAACTTACGTAGGGTAGTTAAACCCAATAATGAAGCGTTCTAATAATCTCTCTACATGCACAAAATTCCAATATCAAACAGAAGACTAACCCAAACAGAGTCTGAGTAGTTGAAGGATGCATTCTATCTGCATAAGATACCTTTCAGATCTAAATCAGACATCAGAAAATACTGAAAAAGTCTGTTTCTTCTGAAATAATCCTCTAATGGAGCTTTTCAAACAAGCTGATACAAGAAGCATGGTTTGGACCATGACCTGACAGTGAACAACAACATGAAAGGAAAACATATCTTTGCTGTAACGCTTATTTTAATTTCTCACTTTTTCAGAAAGTATGGAGCGAGTACATCACCCCTACCTTGTTACAGAACTACTCACGGTTTATTTTCTCTAGGAGTCCCCAAAACTCTCCAAACTTAAATTTGAAATCATTTACCATTCTACTCAGTGAACTTGGTAGAGGTTCATCAGATCAGCAAGCTGCTGCTTTATACTTGATTTTGAGATCCAGCGAGGAGGTAACTGCGGGTGACATGGAACAGGTGCGTTCATTACTTTGTTTCTTAGCTCGACCTCTCAGAAAGGAGGTGCCTCAAGCTTTTTATGTTTAGAATTTCTGCTGCTATTTGTAGTTCTACAATTTGAAGTGAAACTGGATTGCTTGTTATAGAAAGGAAACAATTTTTAATGTTTGCTCGTTTGCTAACAGTGAGCAAAATTTTACACCAAAAATCTGTTTACTGATATGTAAATAGGTGGTAGAAGTAGTCTCCTAAAGTTCTTCCTCTAAATGCAATCCAACTCCAGATTGAATTGATATCATGAATCGGTAAGTATGTATGTTTAACATATCAAAGATTCAGGTTGATTTGGCCAACACAACTGAGTAGTTGGGTGCTATCGCAAGATCCAGGAATTGCCTTATTAATGAGTATTGGAAATGTAAATTCGAAGGCAGAACACTTTTTTGGAGCTATCACGGGCTCCAAACAATGTCTTTGTCAAAACTCAAGGAACGGACTACAAAATATGAAGATAAATTAAAAAGAAGCAGTATATAGTTCACGACGCTTTTGCAAATTAAAACGTTTTTAAAAACAATTTTTACATTGGACCATTGCTTACGAGAATGGAAAACCCAGTTTTGAGCATGTAGTTCATCTGCAGTGATAACGGTGACAGCTTTTTTTACTGAAAAAAGAGCTTTCATTTGATGTCCAAGATTTTATACTTGTTCTCTAAGTCAAATTTCAATTGTTTGTTTCAGTATGTGATACAACTTCTCCAATCATGCTTTAAAATCTTAGAGAAAAAACAAAACAAATCCTACTTAAAATGGAAAAAAATTGCAGCAGATTCATTTGATTCTGATGTATCAGGTGTCTCAAGTTATTTATGTCAAGATTTGAAGAGAGAAAACAATGTTGTAAGTAAAGTCCATTTTCGTTTATCTTCTCCAACTTTTCAGATGCACCTCCCTAAATTTCATTCAGAAATTCATGAATTATTTTCCTCATTTTTCACTCTTTTTATCCCTCATTCTCCATTTGCCTATTGTAAGCGTAGAGTTAGAACACACAGTAAATGCAACCTTGATGAACCTTTCGAAAAGGAAAAAAAGAAAGAAAAAGAGAGATAATAATATAATTTCGCTGTACTACACAGGATCATCAGAACAATTTACTCTGTTTGAGCTTCTCCTCGTTTTCCTCTCCCCCCCCCCCCCCAAAAAAAAAACCTAGGTATACTAGGTAAGTAAATAGTCTTTCAAGGTATTGCCAACAAATGTGCCTCTTCCAGGTTTCATCCATTTTAAGATATGGTTTTGAAATTGAGAGTGCTATCTGAGCTGCTGGAAGGCTACAAGAGGAAAAAAATTAACTCAAAATAACTTTGGCTGTCTTTTGCTGAGGCATGGTAGTGTAATTTCACTAAAAGCAGTTGAATACTTAAGGTGACCAAAATTAAGGTGAAATTACCTCTTGAATAAATGTTAGGAATTTATTGAAGCATGATTTTGGTCGCACCTCCCTCCTCTTCTCATAATTTTAAAATAATAATTATTTTCAGATCTCTGAGGATTTCATCGCCAACTGGTTAGCACAATGTCAAATGATTCATCTACTTCATAGTTTCGTGATTCTGCATCTATATGGTCTGTATCAGTCACAAGAATCAAGTGGTCAACAGATGCCTTTTTTTCTACCAAATCTGAAGCTTTTACCTGGAAGTGAGAATGCAACGTCGCAGCTGTCACTACCTGGAATCCTTTTTCTCAACCAATTGCTACCTGTTGAATTTCAGAGAGATTGGCGTCTCCTTTTCTCATCAAATTTGCATGGGGAAAGTTTTTCGATGATGCAAAAATATGTCTTAGAACAGGGTCCGAGCGTTATAATAGTTCGTGATTCTGATGGTCATGTTTTTGGAGGTTTTGCTAATGATAGCTGGCGTCTTGGGCCCAAATTTTATGGTGATTCAAGTTGTTTTCTATTTACTTTGAGTCCCAGGTTTTCAGTGAGCCGTTCTACTGGTTATAATAGCCATTATATGTATATAAATACGAATCAATCAACTTTGCCAAACGGGCTTGGGATGGGCGGGCAGTTTGACTATTGGGGGTTGTGGATTGATTCAGAGTTCGGAGTGGGCGCATGTAGCAACACATGTACAACGTTCGATAATTATACCTGTTTGTCCAAAGACAAAAATTTCCATATTGCAAGCTTAGAGGTGTGGGGTGTTGGCATACCTCCTCCAACAGCAGCTGAAAGAGGAGAAAGAGAAGTCGGGAAGTCAATTTTGGATAAGGACCCAACAGCGTCAAGCATTTTAGAAATCGCCGGTAAAACTCGGCACAGTGATGGATTGCGAGATCGACCAGATGATGAAATGTAAAACTCAAATTTCATTCTGTTGGCTTACATACTGTTATCACTTTGTCTCGTTACACTAATTTCTTTGGTATTTATTATGCATTCCTGTTTTGAATCTGTTATCTGTGATTTGCTACATGGACTCTTCCATGAAAACATGATAGGATTATCACATTTGAGGCAAACCATCTGTTAGTATAGACTTGGACTGCATGTAATTTCAATCGTTTTTTATCATTTAGCAAAATACCTTCATATGAAATTCATGACTTCTTTAGCCTTCTACCTTTCTAAAAAAAACTGAATCTCGTCTATATCAGTAAGCTTTTAGTAAATAGAGAGCTTCAATGACTTAAGATTTAAAATAATTTTTAATGATTTCATTAAGTAAGAGCTTTAAAATTGAACCGTAAAGTGCAATCAACAGTCATGTCGCCTTGCTAATGTGATGAAAGAAATGAAAATTTATAAAATGATGATTGATTAATAGTGCCAGAGTATTTCTAGTCAGTGCCATTCTAGTGAAACTCTGATTATTGTATGAAAAAACATAAGAATATAGGGCCTAAAAAAGTACTTTTCGGTGAAGAACTTTCAGCAGAAGCTTTCAGCACTAGAATTCTGGAAGGAAAAACTGTGGTGAAATTATTTTGTTTTCCCTGAAAAATCAATCTACTCCTGAACCAGTTTTGTGATTCTAAATGTGAACCGGTAATTATAAAAGCAATGCTGCAATTACAATAATACTTGATTTTTTTGAAATTTTATAGCTCTCCTGTTTCAACGAAATTGTGGGAACGCATTAGCATGAAGTATTAGCGATGAAGTCAGGCAAAATAATATTTGAGGTAGAAATTCAAGTCATTCAGTGTTGCAAAAAAATGGATGATGAATCAAAGATATTGATTCCCAGTTTACAATTCTAAACGCTTTTTATGTACTCTCATAAAGAGCTGGCTAAAATTTTAAGCCACAGCTTGCATTTAAGAGTATAATATAAACCTCTAAATGAATAAATTGTTTCTTAAGGAGGCAACAGAGTCGATAACTTTAAGAGTGTTTTCTCTAGCCCTGGATTTATTGTTCCCTAACTTTGATTTATTGCTAAGGAACTAATTTTTTAATGATCTTTGCACAGGCCACTACAGACTTTACTCCTCTGAGCCATGGTGCAGTTGTCTTATTTTTATGTTTTTTCACCTTAAGAGTGATTTTGCCTGACTTCATCACATTTACCTAATATATTATAGAAATGCATATACGTATACTTATGTGAGTGACAAATATGAATTCTCTGTTAATTGTTTTTTGGAATTTTATTTTATTCTTAAATAAATACAGTTTTTTTTTCTTTTTACAAAATATGAAATTGAATTTTTGAATTTTCACATAGTACAAACTTTACTATTTTAAAATTTAAAATCTAAATTTCCAGTTGAGTATTGGATGAAAAAATCAATTGCCATTGAAGATTGTTATAAAAAGAAAGAGAAAATGACCTTAATGTAATGCATGAAAATGCATTTTAACGAATCTTAAGAATTAGTGAAAATGTAAAAATAAGCAGAAAAGGCGAACAGAGAAAATAAAATAGAATGATTAATAAAAATAATTTCTCTTTTACAAATCTAATGGATTATGAGATGACACAAATAGGGACTCCAATATATACTATAACTGTTACAATAATAAAGTAATTTTTTTGCTCTGTAGGTGAGGAATTATTCCACGAAAATTGGAGTCCTTATATTGCTTATCTTTGTTGGCATGAAAAAGAAATTCAGTAGAAAATAAGACAAAAAACTGGCATACTTAAAGGTTTGGCCAATTTTTCACATGGCATATAATGTAACCAATTTTAATGACTAGCATCCATTTCAATATAAGTAAAAATACTTTTCACAATATGCGAGTAACAGAGGTACGATAGTGCATGTTACTCTTGAATAGCATGAAAGATTCTTTGATTCTTTCAGAGATGTTAGTAAGCCTAGGTCGTCAGATCCAAAGAGTTGGCGCAATTTTTTTCTCCTTTTTAAGGAGATATACTACTCATCATTTATAAATAATCACAATCGGACTGTCCTTTCTGGCAACAATGGACAAAAAAACTGTAGGAGTCTTAAGTTGTGGGTGGGGTTTACTTGAGTAGTTGGATGTTGGATGCAACAATTTTTCATGATAAGATTTGAATTTTTTTTTCAATGTTTAAGTTGAAATTTACAAAAGAATGATAAATGACATACTCTTTGGATCTTTAATGTGCATACAAGGCTGACTTCTGGAAGCACTTGACTAATTTTTTTTTTATTTTTAAAGAAAAGCCTTTAGTACATGATAGATGGCTCTTTTGGTAACTTGAGATTACAAAGAGGGTCTGTAAAATATGTAACGTTCCTCCTTTGTGGAACAGCCCATTTAATCCTGAAATATTAGGTTAGTAAGAGGCAATCCCTCCAGATTTCAGATAAAACTACAATTTCCTTGGAGAGCCTTTTTTTTTGGCAAACAAAGTTTCTACATCATCAAACTTGACCGTTTTATGGACACTCCTATTTGAGTTGACATGGAATGCGTCCATGCTAAGACGTGGGCTGAGAAAAGAACTGATTAACACTGACAAATGAGTTGAGAATTAGGAACAATAACAAAATACTGCTGAGTGTTCATACTCCTCAGAAGTTCCTGATCCAGACAAACACTATGTTTCTTCACAAGGTTTCATTTCAGATTTTATTCGAGATCAGTTCATCATCAAATTTGAGAAAGAAACAAATTTCATTGGGATCTATGAGATTGAAATCACAAAATGAATATTCGTCTGTGACCAGAAATAATTAACTTCAAAAACAAAGTTGGAGTCATCGTCCGTCACAAATACATTCAATATCCCATGATATTTTACGCTCTTGAGCTAGGTAGTTAGTGACTTCGTTGACTGCGCTTTCTGAATCAATGTAGGAAAAAAGTAGTTTGTAAAATAAAATGTAAGTAGAGCTTCATTTGGCACCTGATTAAAGCTGAAAAAATTCCACAAAGTATTGAAAAAAAAAACTTGACTTACACAAAATCACATTTTCGAGTTTATATAAGTTTAAAGTCTGCTTCATGGCGAAGATAGATTCAGAAAATGCACTCAACAGAAGCATTTGTGCATAGGAGCCTCTTAAAGGCACTTAACTCCATATTGCAGATACATAGGCAAAATAGTGGAGAACAGAGAGATGATGATGCCAATTTTACCAAATGTAAGGTCCATATCTGATCTCATTCAGCATAGACTAGTTGAAGCAGCAAAAATGATTTCTGCTTTTAACTTTTATCTGTATAGTGCACCGGGCTACAGAGAGGGCATAATGAATAGCACCTGAGATTTGAACAGACATTGATAATTCACCAGGGTGGCGAGGCAGTTAGTGGCCAGGAACCATGAGTAAACTAATTGTAGTCTTGATCCACCGACTGGAACTCGTTGGGAACACACGGTCTTCGGAATTCTTGACCTACCACATGGAGCCACTTGTTGCAGACTGAAACAAGCAGACATGCAATTAAACTTCCGGGGAAAATGGAAAAGGTGATTTTAGAGTTTATAGTTGGAAGTGCTAGTTAACTTCTACAAATACATACAGTATGTGACAGAAAAAAGAATCTTCACGTCATTGGGGTGAAAAATAAATCATCTTTTCGCTTCCATAGGAGAGAAACTTCACAAATATTTCAGCACAATATATGATAAAAATAACGATTTAATAACTTGAAATTTTATAATGACTGAAATACTGTACCTTTCGCAAAATTTTAGGACATCATCTTCAAACTAAAAATATTGTCTTAAGAATGCACCATTCGAAATGGAGAATAAATTCAAATCGAGTAACCATGCAATTTTGCTGGTAGGAATGCAGGTCATTAGACTTTTTATTTTCTGGGTTTTTTATGAAACAACATGCATTTTTTTTAGAAATTGGCTTGCAGCCTTCCAATTCAAATGAGAGGAGAGGGGGAGGGAGTCCCCCAAATTCTGCCTCATGATCATGGTACAGCAAAATTTGGGAGACTCCTATCAATTCGGCACTTTTTCATGCTGAAACTCTTTATCCAAAGTTATGTTTTGGATTTTTACTTGCGAGCAAAGCCCAAAATAACATTTTTAAGTATTATCTTTTATTAAGTTGAAAACTAAGTTGTTTCAGGTAAACATTTTTCCTTACCCAACGTTTTAGTTTTCAGTTCCCTTCAGAAAATTATGATAAAAGTCCACTGTCATTAAGGGTTCTATGTAAAAAGTTTTATCTTCAGAGAGATAAATTTAAGGTTGATTTCGATTTAATTTGATTAAATGCATTTGCATGTTCTCGATTAACACTTGGATTAATGAACACATTTCTGACCAGTTTTCGGATGAGAGAGTACCAGTTGATGTTTACCATAAAAAATTTGAGTACTGCATTTGAGTATCAATTTAAAAAAGGGATCTTTCTTGGAAAATGTTGCATTAAGAGCATTTAAAATATGACTTTGATAAATGCATGATGCAAGATGTGAGGGTTGATCATTGATTAACTTACCCCATTTGCTTCCGATGAGAACAGGACAAGCAGCATGCCTCGTCCTATAGTCACCATTACAACTAGCGTGTAGGTTCATCCACACGGCTGCCGTTCCTTTCTTTGGCCACAGAGCTAGATTTAATCGTGGAAACACTGTTCCGCCTCCTTCAGCGACATCACTCATCTGAAAATGAACAGAAACAACCAGACGGTCATTAATCAGTTGCATACTGGCAGGTTTTTTAAGATAGATGCATCATAAAAATATTTACACAGTGCGTATTAAATTCAATTAGTTTTGCAGAATATTTGTGAAGTTTAGGTACTTTCAACGCCATGGGCAGGTTTAGAAATTCCTGGATGATCCTCTACATAACAGGGTTTTCAAATGTCTCCCATTTATGGGAAGCTCTATTGCAAAAAGTTCGTTTTACAATCATTACAGAATAAATGTAACTTTTTCAATGAATAGGGAAATTGATGATCATTTTAAGATAATTCGAAACTTCATCACTGTTTCAGTTCATTTTTAAAATGTAATTGATCAACATTGCTTGACCCTGCAAAGATAACAAAGATGAGGAACACAACCAGAATTTCGGTTTATCTGATACTTGATGTAAAAAATGAAGACTATAACTTAGCAATAACTTACATAAAATAGAACAGTTGCTATTCGGTTTCCAGTGCCGAGCGAAGAAAATGCATTAGCTTCACTTGGCTGAAAAAAAGATAAAAAATGGAATGAGTAAAGGATTTATAAACAATTCAATTGGTTGGTTTAAAAGAGCATGCAATATTCAGGCAAACTAAAAATGATAAATTTTATTTATTGTGGAAAAGGAAGCCAGCAACTCTTCAAAACAGAGGGTAAATAAATTCACACATTTTGAAACAATTTGAGTTTGTCAGATTTTTTACACCTTATTTCGCATTGAATCCAAAAATACAATTTTACACAAACATCTTGGAATACTTTAGTCTTCTCAATACAGTAGAAGTGATAAACTTCTCTGCAATTTTTCTCCAATGTTTCCTAATTATAGAAATTTCGCAATACAGTAATTAAGTATATTTGCTGACTCTTTAGCTAAGAGTCAAAAAATCATCACAAAATATTTTTCGAAAATAAGCAATGCCACCAATTAGAAGAAAAAGGGGTGCTTTTTCGTCTCTCTGTAAAAAGCGAAACTTTCTGAAAATATGGGTTACATTCTTTTCCTTCTCAGGCACAGAATTAAAATTAAAATTGTATCTCTAGATTCCAAGACTGATTGTTTGTGAGTCAAATGCATTTGATGATGCTTTCTACAACAACTTGCTTCACCATCACAATCATCTAATGACAAAGCCCTTACAAGATAATGTTCAGTACAGACAATTTAAAAAGTTGGAATAAATGAAGGGGAAACTGTGAGTTTCATACATGAGAGTTGAAAAATACTAAAAGACTTTGGGCAGAGCAGTTTGGTAATAAAGTAGGTATTTTCACTTACTCTGGCAAAGTCGAAATGAGGTTCATAATGGCCGCCGATGCCATAATTTACAACTTGCAGTTCTTCTGCTGTTGAAGTTGTTAACCCAGTCATATCTTCTACACGCTTACTGATGCGCTCTATGACTTCATCTTCATGATCTTTCAGCCATGCAGATTTGCTGATTCGGTAATTTGCTGTTTCTAGTGCACCGGTTTTATAATTTTGGACAGTTGCCCTTCTCAGCTGCAAGTGAAAACGGATTTTATTAAAAAAAGAAAAAACGCGTGTCTTTGTATTGTTAAATCTAGTATTTATGGCTCAGTACAAATGCAATGATAATACTTCAGATAATGGCAATGATTTGTGCTTGTAAAGAACCGAGGAGAATACAAAGAACTTCCAGTTCCACATTTGAAACTTGCCATGTATAAAGTGAAGCCTCGGGATCTTGACATTAAGAAAAATTATCTACGAATCTGTATTTATCTTTTTTTTTTACATACAAATGGTTTCCCGGACTTTTCATTGAATCATTGGGTTTTCAAAGATCACCAAACACGAGCTTAGAATTTTAAAACTTTAGAATGACTTTGAATATTTTGTTATTGCTCACTTGTCAGTAAATTTAAACGAGGAAACAACATGGACCCAAATGGGTCGTTGACCTTAGGATGGCTACAAGAGCCAAAACTGAGCTGTCTTTACTTTTAAATTTACAGTTTAGAGGGTTAACAAACAAAACAAACAAAAATTAAAGATATTTGAAAGGTTTTAAAACTTTTAATTGAGTGGGATATTTTTTGCAGTAGGAATACAAATCCTGCAGGCTGCAGATACCTTTCAAGATGGGTATTCACAATTGCAGCAAGTAAAAGAGAGATTCAATTTTGATCTGGAAATATCTTTGATAAAGACTTGAAATAGCAAGGTAAACTATCACGAAAAAAATGTTTTCTAGCTGCTTCTTCTATTCCATTATTTTCAGTTGGCAAATTGGTAATTTTAAGACTTGAGAGAAAAATTTATTTTCAGTTAAATGAAATAGAAACATGTATTTGCCACAGGGCAATAATCAAATCAGGTATTTGAAAGGTTTTTGTTCAAACCATTGAAAAATTGAGAGAACACACGGGAAACTTCACTAATCGCAAAATTTGACCACTGCCTACACTTTCGCTAAAATACCTTGTTTCACTATTAACCAGCGGGATATGTATTTATTGACTAGATTTTGGACGGGAAAATGATAATAGTGAGTAAATGAATAAAACAGAGAGGGAGAAAGAGAGTAAAAAAAAAAAAAAAACTATTGAGTTTGTCTTACCCTTGGAATGGACATTTTTTTGATAACCTCAATCTCTGAATCGGAGATGACTTCTCTATACAAAACTATTCGAGGATCTAGATACGCTTCCTCTTCTTTCAAAGGTCCAATTAGTAGGTACGGGTTGTTGTGAGAAACATAATGGCACTTAAGTTTGGCTTCATATTCCGGAGACAAAGTAACTTCTTTCCGGCAAAGAGCTTCGTAAAAGGCTCTATCTGAAATATAACTGCCTTTAGACTCTTTAGAAGTATCTGTTGTTGTCGATTCAGAATTCTGAAAAAAATAAAAACATACCACAATTGAAAATACGTAAAGAAAATTGTCATAAATTGATAGCTATTGTTCTGGTCGCTTCACAATATCCCATCCCTTCAATCATAACATGTATAATTCATCTATAAAAATTTTATCTACAATTCATCTAGTGTATTCATTCTTTCGTTAAAAATACCCCATCATTTTATTCAATATTGATGTCAACACTATCCTCATTTTTCTCAGCCTAAATTTTAACTTTTTCTCAAACATAATTTCTCTTCATTTATTCAGTCTTTCAAAACCAAATCTCTTCCAAAGTTCCCTTTTCAGTACATTTAACCTTAGATCATAATTATTATCTGTCAAAATATGAATACTAGATTGATAAGATTAAAGACGACCTAGGTCCAATTGACCAATGAGACTCAAGTGATTATGCTAACAACATCTGACGTGAGCTTCCCTATAAAAATCGTCAATTTGAAACTCGGTGTTGACAACATCATTTCATGAAATCAAAATCTTTGCTCTCCCGTCAATATGTAAAGCACATTGAATATGTAGTGTTATAAATATATCTTACTCGATACGACAAACTACTAGTATGGTGCTCAAACTCACAAATGCCGAAATAGTGCCGAAAAATCTTAGTGGCAAATGCTTACATGGAATTTATGAGGATAGTGTTGACAATTGATTATTAGGACCTGTGATTAAACATACTTCAAATTTTTGGACGTTATTATTTTTTTAAATACTTTTTAATCCTGCTGTACTTACACTTCAATTGTAATTTCTTTTTTTTAAAACTTAATTTTTTTTCCATGAAGTGTTACACAAAAAAAAAAAGAAAATAACGGAAAAAAAAAAAGAAAAACAAAAATATTTCAGCTAGATACCTCTGCGCTGTCGGCAACAGCTACTTCATCATTTTGCACATTTGTTTCTTGTGACGCAGACGCCACGTCCTGTTGCTTACGAGATTCTTCCTCTTCTTTACTGATGGCAGCAAGATAGTAAGCTCTGTTGCCTAGAGCTTTTTGATGATTTGGAAACAGCCTCAATAATTCATCTGTTAACTGTAATGCACCATGAACATTTCCTGCAAAGAAATTTCAGCAATTTATTTGCATCTTTATTTGCAAAATGAATGGTGCAATACTTAAAAGGTAAAACAACTTATACTTAGTGCAAAAAAATTTAACAATGAGAAGAAGCGTGGGGCTTGCCACTTCCTTCTATATTGGGTTGATAAGATTAGATCTTCAATGAATCAAGATCAGATATTAAATAGTAATACAATTCGTAAAATCCATCATCATAATGATATTTAGAGCCTATAAAACTATTAGGATGTGAAAGAACTCAAATGAACATGTAGTATGTAACTCTTAGATAGAAAAATTAGATGATGGTATGTAGAGCCACCGATATATATAATTCCACCGATTCAAATGTAAGAGATAGGACAGATACATGTCCCTTCATCAAAATTTAGAACTGATAATATCATATGTACAAGATTCATTAGTTTACCTTCCATATAAGTAGAATATGCCAAGTACTCCAGAATTTCCCATTTTTGTGTGGTTGTTTGATTCTTCTCTTGCTCATACTTTTTCAATGCTTCTTTCATCCAAAGCGATGTGTGGACGTAGTCTTGTTTATTGTAAGACTGGCGGCCGAGCTCGAAACAGTCACTTGCTATAAAGATAATCACAGAATAAATTAAGTTAATTAGGCGGAGTAAAAGAGAAGAGGCAAAATTACTTTAAGATCAAGGTTCTTTGGGACAATTGTATTTAAATGAATAAGAACCTTTTTAGGTGATTTGCTGAAAAAGGGTTAAATTAGAGTGGGCAGTACCAAAAATGTATGGTTTATTCTCCAGCCATACTCATTTCAATTTAAAAAGAATTTTCAAAGTCTTGTGTCATTACAGTTCATTGTAAGTTATCGTTAGGCGATGTGGAAAGTTTCAAGTGCAGTAAATTTTTCCCCCTAATATTTACTCACTTTCAAAATTGCATACCTCTCTTAAATCAGCCAAAAATTAGGAAAAAGTTTTGATGTTAACAAGAGAAAGTAAAACCTAAGCAGGAGGTACATCATTATGGATATGTTTCCTCCCTAGAAAGTCAGTTGGAACATTAAGTTAATCTTTGCGCAAAAACTAAATTATGCAGAGGAGACCATTAAGATTTAGGAATATTTCTGTCTGCCTAACACAAAATAAGGCAATAAATATAAACTTTGAATAATACCTATTCCACATACAGCCAATAAGTAATCATTTTAAGCTTGGTTCCTTACAAAACTTTCCTTGAGGGAAAGTCTTCAATTATTGAAGAAGACTGGTATTGTGAGACCATGGACACGCAATAAGTGCGAATTGACAACCAAATTTTTCGCTTTTTTTCCAGCTGAAAATAAGGTTGTAATTAACTCAAAACTTCCCGGTATTTTGTATGTGATCTTTTATTAATTTGCAGCAGCCTTTCCTAGGATTAAGCTACTGTTCTATGTTAGTAAAAGCAGTTTTTGCTTTCAAACAGAATTCAACAAAGACAGAAAGTAAATTCAAACAAATCCAATACTGACTTACCAGATAATGCAGAGCTGTATTGAATACCATTCAATTCTCCTCGAGCTACTGAGGAAGTGTCTAGCTTGTATGTGTCTTGAAGACGAATTAAAGCTTCCGCCGCACCTCGTAAATCTTCGTCAGAGGGAAATTTAAATTGTTCCTTGAAGAAGGTAAAATTAGCGAGGACATCTGTGGAAACCCCAAACAAAATTTATTAATGAACTAGACACTGGAATTGGTTTTGAAATGTGATGACATCTCATTTAAAAGCCCACGTCGTTTTTAGAACCACAAAGAATTATTGAATTTTTTCAATGCAAAATAGATAAGAAAGATAAAAAAAACCTCCAATGATAAAACATTTTCCTTGCCTTCCCGATGCTGTCAATTTCTCTCACAAACTAGAGTCCCTTTATACCCAGAGTTAAGACAACTCGATTGTCAGCTGACTGGCAGCCGGCCTTGGCTGGCCATGGAGGCCAAAACGAGTGCACCCAAACGAACGATATTGAGGGATCAGGAATCCTGCGATGTCCGTCACACAAAAACAACAACATCAACAAATTGATCAATTAAAAAGAAAATGATATTGGTTTCTGAATAATTACTTAATCTATTTTCATTTTGGACCGATGAAAATAAAAATTTACTCTTGATAAACCACAATTAGGTAATATTTTCATTATTCTTGTTCACATTCGAGGTACCGCCATCTTGGTGCACTCGTTTCGGCCTCCATGAGCGAGAACCAATCAGAATTGGATTTTTTTTAGGCCACTTTCAGCCCAACCCTGGCCCAACCAAAAAAGAGTTGTCTTAACTCTGGGAATAAAGGGACTCTATCACAAACCAGAGATTATTATGACCGATAAAATCGGATTTCCATGTCTCTCCTCACTACACCAACTTTATGAATTATGTATGAAAACTGCTTGAAGTTTAAGTGATTCATGTACTGTAACTGAAAAAAGACAATAAAGCTGCAATTGTTAACTGTTCTGTTGCTAATTTAAATTGAAGATCCTTTTTTAAATACCTACGTTGATAATACAAAATCTTCATCTGCTACACACAACTGTCAATCACTGAATGCATCATTGATTTCTGAGTTAGACCAACAGTTAGATGTTCTTGAAAAAATATGTCTATCACATGATATTTGAAGATCCTAACATTTCGAATTCACTTCGCTCATTTCTTTGCGATACTTCATACAACCATGTTAATGCCTTTACCACAGTGAGCTGAGCTGCGTTCATGAGGGTTCAAGAAAATACTTAGATGAAAGTCAGAAAAAAAAGGAGAAAAAAATGAGTTAACTTACTGTCATAAAGATTTTCTTGCATGATCATTTCTGTCTGTTTCCAATCAACTGTCATCCTTTTGACGAGGAGATATGCATTGATTGGGTTCAGCAGAAAACTAGAGATATCTCTTTTTGCTTCATTTTGTACCTCCTCAAATAACTTCGCTTGCCTGAAAATAGGAACACAAAAGGCTTTAATAAAATATTTAAATTAAGATTTTTTACTGATAATTATTAAGTTTTTTCTTTAAATACTCTGGCTATAAACCAAGTAGGAAAAAGAAACAATTATTTTCCCCCCCTGACAGAAAAAATACAAAAGGGTGCTCCTTTTATAATAAATGATTACATGGAAGAAAAGGTCAATACTCAAAGTATTGTGATGAAGTCAGTACATTAGAGACAGCATGAAACTTCTAAAATGACGTCAGTACTATCTTGAGAACCATTACGTGATATTACAAAAAAAAAAATAAGTTCAACATGAGATCAGGTTTTATTTGTACTTAATCTTACTTCAAATACCTACAAATTCCTTGCTTTACCTCATAAACTACTGATAAATTGGTTCATAGAAAGAGGATTCTACCAGTGACGTGGCGTGAATTGCGATATATTGATTAATATGCCATTTAAAACTACGGAAAAGGATCGATAAACAGGGTGTTCGCAGCAAACACCTTAATAATCGATTCTTTACCATAGGTTTAAATGGCATAACAAACGATACATTGCAATTCACGCCATGCCACTAGATTCTACTTGTCTCTTGAGTATGAAGGTAAAAAATCATAAGACACCCATCATACACATTTTGTACTGAAGGTATTTTCATCAATCAAATCTGATCAAATTTTGAAATGTATAAAGGCAATCAATGTTGAATTGATCTGATAATCGGATCACAGTTAGCAAAAAGGAACCGGCGTGATTACAGTGTTGTAAAAATGTTGCTTCTTAATAAATATCTAAAAAAATCTCTGAGAATATCAAATAGTTTATGCTTCCCAACAAAAAATTGTTAATTGTGAAGGAAAAGAATTGTGTAAATTTTGATACTGTACATACTTAAATTGAGTATATTTGAAAGGAAAGAAGAAGTTGCACGATTTTGAAAACACTGTAATTGCGCTGGCTCCTATTTGCTACATGCAATACAATTGATCCTTTACTAAACTGGATCATGCTTTCAATAAAAACTAATTCATGTAGAAATTAAAAGCAGCTATTTCAAAATTGACTATTATTCAAATTAGAAAATGGTTAGGTACCTGCGTAACGCATCTAACTTGGCCTCCTCGGCAGCAATATTAGAATGGAGGGTTCGAACAAGAAAAGCTTCTGACTCTAACAGATCTTCTAAATCGGTAATGGCAGTGTATAGCTCCGCCCTTGCGAATTCGAACAGAAGCAAACTTATCAACACTGGGATCCACATTTTGAGAACCTAAGGGCACATAAATAGAAATAAATTTAGTCTCAAATTTTTACTCAGAATAAACATACATAATAGGCAATGCAAAATGAACAACATTAATATTAGATGATTACTTTATCTGAAAGGTGATTTGTAACCAACGAGGAAGAAAGATATGGGTATACAGGACATTTCTTTCAACAAACCATTACTTGCTAATTTTTGCAGTTACAGGTGCTGTGTAAAAACCAACTTTTCACTTGAATTGGATTCCTTTAAGTAAGAAAATGATACAATATGGCCTTCATTCCAGCATCATAACATTCACCCGTAAACAGAACTACTATTTTAACAGGAAACATGCTTCTTAGCTCTCAGTTGAGTATTTTCACCACTCTGATTTCTTAAAATTGGGGTTGAAACAATGGCACTACATGCTCAGATCAAAGGAGTTAAAAAAAACGTAAAGTGTGAACTGACGATGTACCGTTAGCGTTAGTTTTTAGAAACTCATTTCTCTCCTTTGAGTGTAATTAATATTGAGCAGAAGATTGTGGCTTCCATTTTCACCTGACCGCAATGGAACACATGATTTGAAATGACAGTTGTCCCTTGCAATCTATGAGTTCAAGAGGAACACTTGGGTCGCTTTACCGAGATGGCCTTTGCGTGCAATTGCCAGAATCCTAACCTCCGACATAAATGCACGATGAGCACTGTCAGACCAGAGTGAAACTGCTTCAGAACAGCAAGTGACCTACTCCTAAGTATATGCGTTCTGCTTGTTTTGGGAATGGAGAGAGTACGAAAATATTATACAATGGGTTAATAACAGAGGATGGTGAATTACCGTCCACGCGTTTAGGACACTGTCAGTAAACCCATCGAAGGTATAAGAGGTATTTAAGATGCATAATCTGCACTTACATACAGCAGAGATGAGTTTTGTCTTGGTGTATTTCATAAACTCACTAAATAATGAAAAAGCTCGTAAGTCACTTCCTGACTGATAAGACGACCACATGCTTCAAGAATCGCTTACTCCAAAATATATCCAAATAAGAAACTTTGCTTCCGAGGAAAAGATTTGAAAGGAAGAGAATATGGTGGGATATGGATCCAATTTCAAGGGAAGAGGCTTACCCAGCATAGTCTTCCAGAAATAGCTGATGAGTAACACGATTTTATCAGGACTTCCTAATCACTAAACTTCCATTGTACATACTTATTCTTGCTCTTTAAAACATCATGTTTAAACTTCAGAGGCAAAAACGTGTGGTTAACATTCAAGTTTCGTTATCTCGTGAATATTAGGTACGGGGACACGCACAAAATTACTCTTTTGAAGAAAGAATGTGTAAACAATTCCATAAAAAACTTCGTAATAAAAAAAATGTAAACACAAAGCTCAACCATGCGCACAATAATGTGCCCTCTGCGCATGCGTGAAGTCAGCTGATTTCCAAGCCCAACAGTGCTACCAATTGGCGGTTTATTCAAATTGACGCACCCTAATAAAAACTAGCAGGAAACCGGAAACCCCCACAATCAGGGATCAATGTGATTAGTGATCAGTTACAAAATTTTGTCTTTGGCTTTTTATTTACTTTTACAAAATTGGCGAGTCACGCCGCTTTGATAAAATGCAGAGATTAGTGGTATTAGGATTTTTATTGTAATATATAGGTATTTGCAAAGTTATAATGTAATTTTTTCTGAACTTTTTGAATATAAAAACTGGTTATTTTTTCAAGACAACTGTTATTCTTAATGATCTCCTACCAGCGATTAGTAATGTTTAAAACAATACAGATTTTACTAACACAATTTTTTCATTAAATTAAGCATTTAAACGATAGAAGGGTGGGGGCCTGGAGCCTTACGTAATTATTCAGGGGAGGTCCAGGCTAGCCTTACGAGTGCCTTACAGGGGGAGGGGGGGGTCTAAAAATCGAAAAAGTGCCTTACGTAATTTGCAGATGGCCCCCTAGCTGGTTTTCAGTTCTATTCATACTTCCAACATGGCCTACAATATAGGATTAGTTGATGACTTATCAGGAGGTAACTTTTAAAATTGAGGAAAAACGGAGAGAATTACACTCCAAACATCCATTTAGGTAACGTTGGTGAAAGAATTAGTGCGACTTATCACGTGGAAACTCAGAAAGCACTACGGAAAAACGAAAATTTGATAAACAATGGGTTTAACAATTGTTTTACTTTACTTCCACAGTCTGAACAATAGACGAAGGCCAAACGCGATAGTTCTCCCAAAAAGAATCCGCAAAGATGAAAAACTAATGGATATTTTAAAGCTGTGGTTGATGACGCATTTTCCTTCCGTTGTAAACGTGCGGGACCCCAATCCATGAAATTGAGCCACGAGTGGTAAGTTATGTGCCAGAAATTTATATAAACAAGATTGAAATCCATGAGGAAGCTTCCTCTCGAATTTACCATGACTGGATCTTCATGCTAAATGATATTTCGAACTGGAACTGAAAATTTTGAGTTTGGGTCCGCCCAGCAACCTGGGAGCACCCCAGGCGCCTGAAGAGATAACTATTCGAGCTCAGCGGTAGATATGTTGCAAATGCAGCAAAATCGGACGTATATATATATATAAAGGTCGCTTTACAGCACTCCCTCGCGCTCTACGACTCCTAACCTCCACTGCTCTCTTTCAAACCACAAATCTTGGGGGATTGAGCACCTTAACATTTCCGCTTCAATCTCTTCCCTCCAACCTTTCATTGGGCGCCCTCTGCGTCTTCTCCCAGGAGGAACCCAGTCAAGGACCTTCTTCGGCAACCTGTCTCCTGCCATTCTCTGGACATGACCATACCAAATGAGTTGTTTTGTCATAATGTCATGCACGATGGTCTGTTTGGCATCCATGATCTCCCTTGAAAATTGGACGTATTTATGCTAAAAAGAACAATGTGCAAAGGTTTTGCGTGGAACATAGTTCCTTTTAGCATAAATACGTGCAATTGAAGGCGCACCTCAAGTGGACTTCACTAACTAATAGGTTAATATTTCTGTTCAATTAATGCTTATAGAGAACTGTAATTGTGTATTTTGGACGATACAACTATTCGTGTTCTCCGGTAGGTTTGCTGCCTATGCGGCGGATTTGAAGGCGCGAAGTCAGAGGACACTACCTATCTGTAGAGCCACACAGTGTTTATTGGTTCAAGATTGAAGACTGGAACGATATAATAGGTTTCAGGACATTTTGTCGACAATTTTTTGTCCAGTAGTTTACGCCCACACGTAAAATAAGCAGCAGTGACTTGGTCCAAGCGTTATATTTTAGTCGGTATGTAAAATTATATTGACAATATGGAAATGAGAAATTGAGAGAGAAGGAGGTGTTGTTATGGTTGCTCATTGTCTAAATGAAATGTTATTACTTTCTCCTTTTGAATCATCTTTTTAAATTGTCATTGGCGAATATTTGGTTTTATTTCTATCCTTAAAATATTGAATGTACAACTCTATAAATGTATAGGTACTTTTTTATTTATTTTTTTTTTTATTTTTTCTTTACGAAATTATTACTTTATTTTGAAAACATTTGTATTTTTAAAACGTGACAAATATTTTTAAAACCTTTTCCAAGCGACATTAATCTCAATGAGCCGCAGTTGTGCCGACAGAAACTGCAAAAATGAATAAAAGAGGAAAAAAAACCAAGAGGCACACAATCTTTAGTTTTAACCCATTTGTACATCGATCTTTTAGTGTCAAATGCGTCAAATTTTGAGCGTTTCATTGCGCGTACACCTCGCTGTAGCACAATAAAAGCACAAAATGTAAAGGAAAAAATTAAAGTGCTTTGGAAATCATTAAATTTGACACGAACCACCAATATTTAAAAAACACACATTATATTATTATTCTCCTTTGATAAATTGATACATATTTTTTCCCCATCAATTTAAATGAGAATAATCAATGCAGAGTGAGCTAAAATTTCAAAATCACGAGTTAAAAAACGCTGACTATGCGAGTATAAATATTAAAGCCGAACAGAGCGGAGCGGCGTACTGCGAGCGCGAGAGGCTCACTGGCGCCTACAAACCTAAGTGGATACTTCACGCATTGCACAATGCTTGAAGTATCCACTTAGGTTTGTAGGCGCTAATGCGCGTTTCGCGCTGGCCGCCCGCCCGTCGTGCGGCGGCGCCTGAAGCAACTATTTACAACAGAGGTGTTGCACAGTATTACACGAAATTGAACGTATTAAGAATGACAGGCGTCCTTTAAAAGTACAGGAATTTTATAGGCAGCTCAAAGAAAATTCAGTGAAATTTTCGGACAACTTCGTTAAACAATTTCTCCGTAAAAAAATAAAATGACGGTGGAAATTTTTAAACGCCGCAAGGCGCTTGTGATACTTTGTCCGGAAGGTGGCGATCTATCAGTATATTCACACTTCGTTTGATTTCCATCGATTTCATTGAAAGATTTCAAGTTTTAAAAATTGAGTAAAGTCTCAAAAAGTAAAGTGAAAACTTTGAGTTATTCCATGAAGCTGTGATTAGCAGCTTGATCTCTTCCGGAAGGAATTTTCTGGACAAAATGCATCGGGTGAGTTCATCGTCACCGCTTGGACTGCTGACTCGGGACCCCGGTGATGGACAGTTAACCACCAAGCTCAGACTAACGACCGATTCAAATGCGACGTGAATCGTCGTTTTAGCTGACAGGCGTTACAGACGAAAGAATGAGCGATGTGCTGATACATGTTGTTACGCGCCGCACGTGTACTTGCATTTATGTACCTACTGCAGCTCGGACATGCACTTCTTCGCGCGTCGCCCGTCGCGTCCGGGGCCCCGGAAATTCTTGGCTCCGTGCTTTTACTGTCGATGATGATTATAATCAACGCTGGTTAAGCAGTAAGTGTGAGTTAATATGCAGTTCGGTCAATTCGGTTCGATATACCTCATCAGCTGGACTATTTGCAATTTGGAACTAAAAGTTTTGGCTTGGCCGTTAAGGCACTTATCTGCATGGGTATA